TGTGGTCCGTGTCCTTTATACTTCTTACCTTTAAAGGAAGATGAGTGTATATCACGTCGTGGTTCCTCTGTTTGAAGATTAGGGCTCTTAGTATCGCTGTGTTGTGACAGACCGGGATGGACCATGTCAGAATTTTCGGATTCCTTCCGCAAATCCCGGAATTTTTTCTGTTTTAAATCGGGATATTCGGAGACGAGGGTCTCTAATTCCTCATATCGGTTTACAGTACAGTGGGACATGTCTCAGGATCAACCCTAGTTTTACCACTGAAGACACTCGCCAACTTCAGTCCCCCCAGGACTTTCCTGTGCGTCTGTATTTATCTTAGATCCGCACTAATGACAACATACAGGCGATGCAATTGGGTTCATTATCAAATTTAACTCATATCGGTGTTTGAAGGCATATACATGGCGTGGAGGTAGAGGTCCATGTACAACTGACTTCATGTCCCTGCCGCATTGCCCTACGGAAACCAGCCTCGGAACAGGTAACCGTTAATGTAACAGATTCACTGTAGATCTAGAAGTTGTGAGGAAGAGACTGAAACGCTCCTGTTGGGATTTAAACTGAGACCTTCCATCACTGCGGTTCACATTTTTATGGGAAAGAACTTCGCGTGACCTCATTTTGTGAAACAAAAAGTAAAATGTAATGTGTTTATAGAGGCGGTTAAGTTGTACGGTGGGAAATAAGGTGTTTGCTCCGTGCCTGTGTTTCCACACACTTCTCACGAGTGTCGGAGCTCCAGCACGCTCCGAACCTGTTGCTCACGACTTCCTGGTATCGTGTAAGACTCAGCCAATAAGAGCAAGGAGTTGCCGTCTGCACAGCGGTGACTAAGAGCAGTACTGACTTCGGGAATATTGCGCCGTGTAGTCCAGCAGTTCACCGTTGTTTCGAAGGAACTTACTGCCTCCACATTCAGGATCGAATTGTGGGGCCAGCAACAAAGGAGCAAGAAACAGAGAGTAACGCCTGCTTCCTTGTGCAAGTTCTAGATGTAGCTCGCTTCTTGGAGGTCTCTTGCTTGGCTTACACTTCGACAGAGACAGTGCTTTCCTCAGAGAAGTCACTACACTCCTGCCGGACTGCATGGCGCTACATCCCAGAAGACAATACTCCTCAATAACATTGTCAAAACAATGTGAAAACAAAGGAGGAATGCAGGGTAAAACTTGCAAGACTTGGAATCCACAAAACGTCAATATTGACACATGCGGCCTTCATTATGCGCTGGCCTCTTGACAGAGTTAATATTTATATTTTGTTTAATGAAATTCACAATCTACACTGATCTCATTTTTCTCTTGTTGATTTGCACTGCTTTGCAACGGTTGTTACAATATAGACCGATTCTTTAGTCATTTTGCTACGTTGTATCAACTGCAGAAAATATGGAAAAGACAAAATTTTACATCCAAAATGCCAGATAAATGGCATCATTAAATATTAACTCTGACATTGATTCGGTCAGTTTACTTATCAAAATCTGCCAATGTGCATTTCAGTATGGCTAAAGAGAGTCAGCCCGGTCATGACTGATGCCGACTGTTGTCTCGTGTTCAAACAGAAAGCCCACACAAGACCTATAAACGTGTAACAAAGGAAACGATGGTCTCTATATACATATGTACACGTTTCTTTCCCAGGCATCTGAGAAGTTCTGGGCGTTAGAACTTTCGCGGTGGACGTGGGTCCAAATGCTACAGAGGAGTGAAAATACACGTACTTCATTGGAGTCACCATTCCATACTCCTTACATTTGGTTGCAGTTGTTTGGTGTGTTAGCAGTGGCGTGTAATAAAATAATTAACCAATTAACTAATTACGTTATGTTTGTGTTTTCCTCCCTGAACTATTCACTGAATTTCGTTGAGCTTTACTGCAAGCGACCTTTACAAAGAAACTTTACTTATTTCAGGTCGTATTGTTTCATCACCCGCTTGGCATTTCACTTACCAAGTTGCCGGAGGGTGGGTGTGCTGAACACGCATTGCAGCAAATTGCGCGCTCAGACTCAATCGTGAGAACCTCTTGAACCCACGCCCTCCTGCTGTGGGGGGGGGGCATGACTCCGCCAAACAAGGGTTCTAATTATAAGCGAAAGTTCGAGGTTCTCAGGACCATCTGTTGAGAGGTCCTAGAGTCCATTCCAAGCCCAAACACACCGAAGTTTGGCAATGCTGCTTCAAGTAGAGCACACCAAACTAACTCCGTGAAAAAAAAAGTCCCGGAAGAGCTAACAGTCGCTCAGCTATTAAAGAAATTCTAAAAAAAAAAAAAACCCAAGATTTATTATTGCTTTCACAGTAGCCCGCCAGCGGAAGCTATTCTGAGCCGTGTGACTTAAGAACACAACATCGCACGTTGTACCATTAAAATCCATTGTAATGTTCTCCACCCATATACGGGTATGCGTCTAAGTGCCCCAAAGTTCTGTCTTCCATTCAGGTTTCGTGATTAAATTTTTATTATATTTCTCATCTGTGTCATACATGCTACACTCCCCGCCATTCTCGTGCACTTTGAGCTGATCACACTAACACTATTTAGCTTAACATATATTATTTCCTTATCATAGTGGAAGGGTCATCTGGTGTGTTAACCGAATATTGGGGTCGAGTGCAGCGTTTCTTCTTCGCGCTCGACAGGATCTTACCCCGGGGACTGGCTACCTTCAATCCCTCCAAACAAATACCAGGACAGTAGGTCTACCTTATATTACGCCGCAATCAATTCCTTCTATATGCTTTCAAATCACTGATAATCATATCATTCGACGTTTTACAGTTCGACAAACTTACAGCATTGTTGAGTAAACCTGGAATATAAATCAGAATGAAGGGATGTGCATATTTGCTGTCCACGATCTCGGCATCTTGCAAGGTAGTCCATGTTCTCTTCTTTTCTTCTTGTCCTTCGTCTTCGTCTTCTCCTTCATGGTGAACATAAAACTGTTCCTTTAAAGCTCAAGGCGTGCTTGATCCTGTACGATATGGTTCTGCTATTTCCTTGGGGACGCTCGGGAAATCATTGACTATGAATCAGGAGGCAATTTTCGTGGCTGGGTTTAGAACCAATATCTACTGAATGTGAAGAAAATGATGGATAAAATAGCGTGCAGAAACTATTTTTTTTTTAATTCGATCATTGTGGGGTGGAGTCCTACTAGGTCCACTCGGCACGGCGGCCACTGATTGGCCTATTGTAGCTTGCCCTGGGTGATTATGATGATGGAGAATTTCGTGGAATGAAGATTGGCAGAGGAAACCGAAGTATTTGGAGAAAACTCGCCCCAGCGCCACTTTCTCCACCACAAATACCACTTGACCAGACCCGGGATCGAACACGGACCGCCGCGGTGGGAAGCCAGCGACTAACAGCTTGAGCTATGGCGCGACCTTCTGAGCAGAAACTGCTTACTGCCATGACCTCGCCACACAATGCCTTTTGTTGTATATAATCTCATGCGAACACTAACAGCTTGGGCAATTTCGCCACATATTGCTCTGCACTTGTTTACTGTCTGTCATGGAACCTGAAAGTTAAAATTAGTTACAAAATGGAGAGTTTTCTCAGTTCCATCCATTCATAATAACGTAGATAACTTTCTGAACCTTCAAAGTGGTAGAAGTTTAATATTTTACATTCTTTTTCGCGATATATGCAGAGTGCATTTTAATTTAGGAGAAGAATAATGGACTCACAATTTATGTAATTTTCTCTCATTCTAGTGTCAATTCACTTCCCTTCTGTGAAATACAAAATCATTTTATTTGAATGCCAGTGTCTTGAAATTTCCCCTGGTTTCTGCAACCCGCAGACATATACACAAGAGAAACTCGCCTTCCGCATGTTTATCTGAAACGCAACGATATGGAGGTCACAACCGATTTATCATATGCCAGGATTTCTCCGCGACAAAACGTTTTCTCTAACTAAAATTCATTTCCGTGCAGAAGGATTATAGAAGAGGCTGTTACAATACATTGTTCTCTTAGACTTTTTATATCCTGAGAATTTCAATAGGCTTTGTATTTGAATATGCAGCTGCAATGTACAGTAAATTTCAGTTTTATATCTGACAGCAACAGAATTCATGTCACTGCCTCAAGGCATCACCTAGAAGAACTGCAGAAATAAAAAATTATCAAATATTTGGTGAGAATGGAACGCAAGTTTCTGTTAATCAAGGTTATAACGAATTCTCTTTGTTCTGTGTAACATAAAAAACTCTGCAACTTCCATTACCTTCGGACACGTTTGGTCATAATCTGCTGCAAAATATGCATTGTGGTCTTCATCATTTTGGAAAGTAGAAGGAAAGATAAATAGATTTTTAACTTAACAGCATGCAATACTGTTCGAATTTATTGTTCACAGAATTTCGTCATGAAATTTATATGCATTTTGTTAATATTTCCGGGTTCTTAAATGCGAAAATGTTCAAATTATTGCTTACAGCTCTACTCTTGTTTTCATTTTATTGCAGATTTTAACTTCGTGGCGTTAATATACAATTTCCGCAATAAGTATTAATTCATTAGCTAATGTATTTGCCTGTACTGCGTTATTACTTATATACGTAGAGACAAATGAAACAAGTGAAGTTTCGTTTTGGTTGGCTATTTGTGAGAATTCCTTACTATGTCTGAAGAATATCTGATATTCATTCAAATACACAAAATTATCCAGTATAAGTATTAAATGCAGATACTCTCATTAGTTTGTAAACATCATATGTCAGCAATGGAAACAATAAAGTATATAATTAAGATAATTGCAACATAGTTACTTTTCACGCTGCAGACACATGACAATTACAGAAGCTGCATTTTCGAGTATCCATTCTTATTTTGTATGGCTCTAGTGTTGACTCCATACCAGAGTTCGCAGGACCAGCATGTTGGTGTTGATGTTATGGGGAATTAAAATATACATTATCTGATAAGCTCCAGAAACATAAATTGTGATAAGTTATGTGTTTATACCCACAGATACTCCTCGTGTTGGCAGCCTGTCTACTAGGCAACGGCTGCGTGGCTAAACAGTCGGACGACACTGAGCCGCTCATCTGGAACAATGCGGGTCAAGGCAGCTCGTCCCCGGCGCCCTTGAAATTGGACCCTGTGCTAAGACGCGCCCTGCTCCGAGCACTCACACAGCTGGAGCTCGAGGCGCAGAGAAAAGCAACCGGAGCCGACATCGCAGAAAATACATCAGTAGACGACGCCTCGGTGAAGGACACGCAGGAGGCAAACATAAAACGCGACCTCGAGGAATTGCTAGGGAACTATGAGAATGCCATCAAACAACCAGAAGAACCGCAGACACCAGTCAAAGTAAAGGAGAATCAAGACATGATCATTCTAGACGAACAAAACTCACAGCCTGCTGATGAAGTAAGCGTCATCGACTATGAAGTTCCCGGCGACAAAACAAAGACACCCGATGATCTACACCAGCAAGAGCAGACATCCTTCTCGGAAAAACCACAGGAGAGTGCCATATTTTTCCAAAACCAGCAATCTGAAACTGAAGAGAAGACAGAAAATGAAGAGAAGAAGTCAGAAACAGATTACCCACCGCAAGGTGACATTCAGTCCAACATCATCCCCTCAAGTACACAGCTGACGGACACCGATAAAAGTGGCAACACTGACAAGAAAGTAAGCGAACAGGACTACAACGTTGCAGAAACGTCTTCGACGGTAAATAATGCCGTCGTCAAGACCAACGATCTGCCAGCTGGCAGTGAAAGTACAAAACTCGATCTGGACGACCAGGATGTATCGATATTCCAGGCTCCACTCGTGGCTGCATTTACGCTACAGCAAGACGAAAAGGGAAATCCTAAGAGGGTGGTGCCTCTACTGCGACGGCCACAGTCAACTCTGTTAGCACAGCAACGACAGCGCCTCCAGCAACAGCAAATTCAACTAATAAAGGAACATCAACAATTCCCGCAACTGCCTCTGCAAACTGCAGAACAACAGCATCGGTTTCAACCGCAGCCACTACACTTAACAGGACAACAACCGCGTTTCCAGCCGCAGCCACTGCAACTATCAGACCAACGTTTCCAACCGCGACCGTTGCAACTAACTCGAGAACAAGAGCTGGAACGTAAAACACGTCTATTAGAAGAACAATTGCTTCAGCTGCAACGGCAGCAAAATTTTCAACAACAGCAGCAATTCCAGCAACAACAGCAGTTTCAGCAGCAACAGCTCTTGAAACAACAACAACTTCTAGAGCAGGAACGGTTGAGGCAGAGACAACAGCAGTTATTCGTTGAAGAGCAGCAGAGGCTGAGGTTCCAGCAACAAGCGTTCCTACCTCTGGAGCCACCCCCACATCCACAGCGGCAGAGATCGCAGCGGCAGGAGACCGGAACAGGAATAGTGGACTTCCAGCAAAGTGTCGGTTTCCAGTTCGGGCAACAACCAAACAATTTATTCCAGCAACAGTTTGTTCCGTCCACCTTCCAGCAGGTTTCTAACCCCTCGACGGACTTCGTTTTTAACAACGTGAATAGTTTCAGGCAACCTATCCAGCCTTCGTCCGTGAACAGTCAACTACAAAATCTACTGTACCAGTCAGGTGTAGCTGGAGATCTGCAGATTAATGGTGCATCACCTCAGGAAGACCTCAACATCGTGTCAAAAATTTTGTCCCTCAACCACGAAGGAAGGGGGGACAGATCCGGCAGGGAGACACCCCAGCCACCATCAAGATTTATCAGCCCCCCACTCCCTTGAGAGTCTCAAAATCCTGTGAAGTTATATGAACACAGTGTTTCAGGTTACAATAGGAAGACGTTGACAGTCCACTGAGACATTTAAACCTGGAAATGCTCATCTCTCTACGGCCCTGAACGAACTTTGTACATCTGCATGTCACTGAACAGAGTATTGTTGTTTAGAAATACAAAGTAGAGTGAACTTTTAAGGACATACTCGTACACTCAGTGTATAAAGTCATCATTTCTCCACACCTAACGAATATATTTCAGATTAATGAAGGAAGGATGCTGTTGTCACTCATGCACACTCTAGGGCACCTCATTCTAAAATTACGCTTGTCTTAGAAACATTTTATAAGTGTAAAGGTTTTCCCAAACAAGTGACTTGATAAAGACACTGCTTCATTCACATCCATGTCCTGGCGAGTCTGACATTACAATCGGAATTCTCTTATTGAAGCGCAACTGTTCTCCCCCCCCCCTGGTTCAGATTCCTGTACACAGGCTACAGCAGGTTTTCTATATATCTAAGCGCCACCTCAGAGAATGAAAGAACAGAGGTTGAAGACAAATTAATACAAGATTTTGGTAGTAATTATAAAATTCTTACACGTTTCATTTGACAGAAATTTCATACTATGACAACAGATAAGTTAGCGTCATTATCCCATTACAATTTATCAGTGTTCTCTTGTGGTCATGCACGTTTATTGTAGTATAACACTGAAACAATAATTATGCACATCCGTTCGATGGTCAGATACTTTCAACGACTGTTCATTTATATTGCATAATCTCAAGTCGTTCATATTGAACTCCTCATTTTCTCTGATGAAATTCAACCAGCGAGTTGTAACGTCTCTCATACCTAAATAAAGAAATATATCAGGCGGACACTTCAGAAATATTACGCACCACGGCAAGCTAATTCCACATAAGCACACACACACAAACACACAACTACATTTCCCAGGGTAGCGGCCAAGTGGGTCGCATTAAGTAGGGTCTTGGTTCAATTAACGGTATAGATTGGCTATCCTGGATAATACTTCTCGTGGTTTTTCTCAGTCCCTTTAAGCAGATCCCGGAACAGCGTACTAACGTCGAATTAGACGAGGATCATTTTCTGCCACATAACTTCCAATTCATTATCCATTAAGCATTCTACTACTCAACTTCGTGTTGTCTTAACTACTGACAATCTCGTTAAGTAAACCACTCAAGCGGTTAGTCGCTGGCTTCCCACCGAGGCGGCCCGTTTCGATCCCGGGTCTGGTCAAGTGGTACTTGTGGTGGAGAAAGTGGCGCTGGGGCGGGTTTTCTCCGAATATTTCGGTTTCCCTTGCCAATCTTCATTCCGCCAAATTCTTCATCATCATAATCACCTGGGGCAGGCTACAATAGGCCAATCAGCGGCCGTCATGTCGAGTGGACCCAGCTGGACTCCAGCCCCCACTAAGCGAAACCACTCATTCTCACGTAAAATACGACTACCCCTAAAATCCTCAAGACCCCCATTGACGTCCAGCAATGTGAGGTTACAAGGGAACATAAGACCCTCAATCTGCGGAAGATGGGGCTATCTCCACACTTCCACTCCCATTTGCCGGTTGAAGAAACAAATCTTTTACGTAAGTTGCAGGTTCATAATTTTTAAATTCTGCATCATGCTCTTTTTATTAATTAAAGATTAATAAATGTTAAATTTGTTTAAGAACCGTCGACACGACTAAAATAATGACATATTTGTATTAAAAAGCGCTACAAGTTTCAACCTTATGGATCATCATCAGTAAGGACACTAAGTAGATCTTTATTTTGGAATTTCCATATTGATGTTTGCAACTAGTGTTACGGTGTTTTGTGCTTTGAATGTGAATGGAAGCACTTAACCATACAGCTTTAACAGAAACGTCCGAGCAACGAAGAAAGAAAGCGAGAAACAAACAAAAAAGAGCATTATAAATTTCTACTTTTGAGCGAAAGACTCACAGAACTAACACCCCACAGATATGTCTTACATACTATAGTGAGACGTTCATGTACAACCCCATGAAAATATATCCCACATCACAGAGGACAACTTACAAGATCACAATGCTTTTTCAACAATTAAACGTAATTTTACCAACAATATAACCAAGTTATTTTACTCTTTTATATAATTTTAAGAATACAATGACTAGGCAAATCTGTATTCAACATCAGCCCTAAAAATAGTTCTCAATTACACATATCCTGTCAATACAAGTGAAGTTTATTACGTGTTATCAAGCAATGTATGAATTAATCTGTCATCATACTGTTCTTATCTGTAAATATTTGCACCACACAGCATACAAACTTCAGCATATATAATACAGTGTAAGCCTATTCAAAGCAGGATCCATTTTCAATAAGGTAGCTAAAGAAGGCAACATGACACTAAAGTTTCCTTTTACTGTGCCACCTGATGAACACCTGTGAGGTCCAAACGTCCAGCAGCTTTCACTGAAGTCTTGTCGACGGTAATTAGTAAATTTAATGCTTATTAATATGTAAGTTCGTTGGACACGCACCACTGGTCAATGCAACCGCAGTTCCGCTCCGGATATCGGGCGATGCGTTAGTAGTAGTAGTACAGTAGTATCAGCAGCAACAGTAGTACTAGTACTAGTAGTAGTAGTAGTATCAGCAGCAACAGTAGTAGTAGTAGTAGTGCAGTAGTATCAGCAGCAACAGTAGTACTAGTACTAGTAGTAGTAGTAGTATCAGCAGCAACAGTAGTAGTAGTGGTTGTTGTGGTTGTGGCAGCAGCAGCAGCAGCAGTAGTAGTAGTAGTAGTAGTAGTGGTTGTTGTGGTTGTGGCAGCAGCAACAACAGCAGTACTAGTACTAGTAGTAGTAGTAGTAGTAGTATCAGCAGCAGCAGCAGCAGTAGTAGTAGTAGTAGTACCTGCGCCGCAAAGTAGACCCCATCTGTTTCAGCTTAGTACAAATCGCTTCATCAAGTTCCGAATTATATTCCAAAATACGCTAATTCGCATACTTTCATACTTCTTCGAAGTGAAAACTTGCTATGACTTTTCCGTGCAAAAAATCAGTTTGCATTTCTTGTCTGCATAAAAGGCTCTACATGCCTTTACAGCCTTATAGTCTCTAGCTTCACCGGCCTAAGAAAGCAGGTCAGTGTGAACCCTCCATTCTCCCCTGAGTTTTAAACGAAGGAGCGTTACCACGCCACGAGAACTTAAACTAAAGGGGCCCATACACGTACGAGTCTGGTTCGCGAGTCCGACTCGGCTCGGGTTCCAGTGAGCCAACACGCTCATACGTGTGTGGTGAAATTAATCCGAGCCTGGCACCTCGCCGAGCCAGACTCCTACGTGTATGGGCCGCCGAAGGGTACGTCAGTACAGGGTGCAAACGATCTAAGAGAGAGGGGCTGGAGAAAATTGCGTCATTAGGAGTTTCATGCTTCGTATTCTTTGCCAAATGTTGTTAGAATGAATAAATCGAGGAGGAGACTAACGGGACATGTAGTGCACATGGAAACCTAAAGAAGTGTTTACTAAATGTTTGTAGAAATACTGACGAATATAGGCCACTAGGAAGACCTGGGGTTAGTTGGGCGGATGATGTTAAAATTAAGAAAATATTGTGGAGTTATTAGTTAATTAGCTAGAGGGATGAACACAGTTACATTTATTGTAGATTAAGAAGGAAGAGGTAGTGGTTTATTTGATGACACTATCTAATAATTCTCCCGGAGGTACTGAAAAGAACCACGAATAAGTCTATGTCTAGAGCCAGATTCGAGCCGGCACCTCCGGAATACAAGATAGAAATGTTCCTTTCGATCCAATTAGCTCGACAACGAACAGAGAGGTGTCTAAAATATAAGAAATTACTTCATATCACAGTTCACTTTCATGCAACCTGACTGGGTCCGGAGCTACTAAACATGGCGGCCCAACTCCATTGTTACCGACGTCGAATATTGTATTTTGAATATGGCTGCGATTTCCAAACTCAAATTACTTACAACGTTTTTACAAATATTTTATAATTCTCAAAATCTGACATATTTAGGCGCGCTATCAGCTGTTAAAGTTAGAAATTCTGTTGTTACCTTCATACACGGAGTTCCTTGTAGCGACACTGTGGCACGTCTACTCACAGATTCCTAGTCCAGGATAAATTGTTCTTTAGCAGTCTACATAATTACGCTTTCAGAACTACATGTTTATATACGGTCAGAAGACAGGATGGTTATGAACGATGAGCTGATAAAGGTGTGAGAGGAAGCGGTAATTATCTACTGACAGTTATTATTACAGCATTATCCAGGATCTAACGAGGAAACCAAGAACAATCTCAAAGAGAGTAGCCGGTCTTCTGGCAAAAGGTGATGGATTTACGAGTATATGTCACTTCTAAAAGCTGTCAGCAGAGGTGACTCCTAACTTAGGAGTCTTGACATTACTGCTACATTTTCATATTGCTTCTGACCAGGTCAAACACATGCATATAAATTGTGACGTCTTGACTTCTGAAGAAATCCATGTTGGTGCAATTTTGAAAATTATGAACTCTGTTTTTCTCTGTTTCACTATTTCGAAAAGTACAGTTCTGCCTTAACTCTTTCTCTCTCGGCAAACCCCTCAACATAAATAAAGGCCGATACAGAATTTCTAAGATTATAATATTTGCAATTTTCAAGGTATTCTCATTGAACCGTTTGTCAAAGAACTGTTCTCAGTTTGTGTGCAACACGCTTGACGTATTGAATTTTGTTCAGCGCGCCCGGTGGCATCCAAATCGTCATCGAAGGCCAGTTCCATTACCGTTATCACGAAGTCTTGTCAGAGAGAGCTGCATCACATGAGTTCATATCCCTTCAAACTGTTTCTCTAAGTTATGTTCAATGTGCTACCACATGTGTTGCCATCTGTTTGGGGACGGAACAAGCTTAATCCTTGCAGGCGATTATGATATTTGCGCTTCACAATATCCCAGCAGTTTCCTTTCAAGTGGTTTCACAAACGTTATGAAGGCATCTATGTATAATACATATGTTCTACAAACAGATATCAGATCACTTGATTTAGTCGCTCTGACTGCAGTATAAGAAGGAGTACATGAGACCAAGAAACGAAACCTTGTTTCTCTAAGAACAAAGAGTGGACTGGGAAAGAGAAGTTCGATTAAGAATTACACGTAGAAATACACATTCACCCCAAAAGTGTGGTGCCTTTGTTTTGACTCTAACCATGGTAACCTGAACAGGCCCTACGTCATCATGCTACAGTGCCAGTAACAAAAGAGTGAAGCAGTGTGTGTATGTGTGCGTGTGCGTAAGGGACCGGTTCTGGTCAGTATGACATTAAGTTACGGTTTTATTATTACAAATATTAAAGTGCTAATGTTAATGTTAATGTTATACATTGTTTTATACTGTAACACATATTTTAAATATATTACTTAAAACATGTGTTTGTAAGTAAACCATAATTTAATCAAACGTGAATTGTCCCAGTGCTTAATGAAGCATTACTCATGAGGAGTATGTTGAGTGGAGGCATAGCTGCACGCATTCTTAGCCTTGTCATTAGATGGAGGTGCGTGGTCAGTTTCTCCGGGGGAAGATGGCACCAGGCCCATCAGAGTGGAGGATCAGGGACACTAGAGCCAGTCTGGGGGAGGAACATCTTTCCCTTGTTGGAAATTGAACACAGAACGGTACTCACAGTCTTTACAGGAAGATGACCTTCATTAAATATACATGTAGGTTATACAAAATATGAAGTCAGTGGGAGTTATTTAAGTTTCGGAACCTAATAAAGAGTTACGATCAGAACTCATAAAGCCTATTTTCATAATGAGAACTTTCAGTCCTACAAATCTTTGTTATTCTTTTTACATTTAAATGTAATGTACAATTCAGCAAGAATAGAATGTAGCTCAAGAGTTAGCCTGCTTGGTTCGCGCATGGGTGACCTTAGGAGACTTCAGAGTTCTTCAGAGTTAATATTATATTTTCGAAAAAAAAATTGATGTATTTGCTGAAGTGCCTATGAGATTTACGTCAAATTTCTCTGGTATACCGCCAGTGTTTCGCACTTTTAGCACGTTTGCAGTGGTATTCATAAACAATGTGTAGCAGTGGTTATAATTTATCCTCACACAAATTTCCGTGTTCATGGGACTAATGGCCTACTAGTAACTGCTCCCAAATTTAAGGCTAAATTGAAATTTCGTACCGTCGCCCTGTTAATTTTTACACTTTACATAATATGTTAAACTTAACGAGAAATTTATACTAGTATTTATCGATGATCTCTACCATACACCATTCAGGTTCTCTGTGGTGCTATTATCGCTCTTGCTTTATGAGTCTGTACGTCTTCCATATTGTTATTGCAGACTGGAGGAAATTATAATGCGCGGTGTTCGGGTAGCCTCCAGTGGTATAATATCCGTACCAGATTTTACAAAAATCAGACAGTAGATTCAAAGGTAAAAAGGGTCACCCTCAAGACAGCTTGGTATACTCATAAACGTATATTTTCCCTTAATTAGGCAGTAAACTATCCCAGAAATTACCAGAGTGGAGAGTTATTTACGCAACTTTCATAGAAAATATCAATCGCGAATAAAAGTCACTACGAGTCTTTGTGCAGCATTTTCTAGGCCCTACATAATAAATACTTCCGTTAGTTGTACATTTCACAAGCTATATTATTTAAAAAACAAGAATCCTGCTTAATTTATATTAATATAAAAGATAAAGTTGTCACTGTGCTTGATTCTTTAAACACCACTGTGGGAACGGCCCACATTCAAGCCCTACTGACCGGCTGGATATCCCGCTTCGGTTTCCCACAGACCATCACCACCGACCAAGGACGACAGTTTGAATCTCAACTCTTCCACTCCCTGACCAAGCTCTGTGGCATTCAACTATCGAGAACAACTGCTCACCACCCAGCGGCTAACGGACTCGTGGAACGTTTTCACCGAACACTAAAGGCAGCCATCATGTGTCACGCAGACCAACACTGGACAGAAGCCCTACCCCTGGTTCTCCTCGGAATCCGCACAGCATTCAAAGAGGACCTGCAGGCATCAGCAGCTGAGCTCGTGTACGGCGAGCCACTAAGAATACCAGGAGAGCTGCTAACTCCGACTGCCGACCCAGTGGATCCAGCGCACCTCACCACCCAACTTCGCCGATACATGGCCCGCCTCAGACCAATTCCAGCAACACGCCATGCCTCCCCGTCTACATTCGTGCACAGCGACCTCAAGAAATGCACACACGTCTTCCTCCGGCAGGACACGACTCGCAGAGCATTGGAGCCCCATTACAGCGGCCCCTACCAGGTCCTATCACGAAAGGACAAGACAATGCAAATCCTCGTGCGCGGCAGGCTCGTCACCGTGTCAACCGATAGGGTCAAACCTGCCTACATGTTAAACGAGACGGGACGTGGGACCACCACCAAGACCTTCAACCCCGCAGCCGACGAAACCCCAACCGCGGTTCCGCATGCCGTACCACCACAGCCTGTACAACGAACTACACGCTCCGGACGTCATGTACATTTTCCTGATCGCTTCAGCAGCTGAGCAACCATCTCCGCGGGGGGGGGGGGATGTGGGAACGGCCCACATTCAAGCAAGTGTGACAACGCAAGCTTCATTGCTTAGCAACGACGAGTAAACAGCGGTTGCTAGGCAAAGCCTACAACAATACGGACAGTGACAGGTTTTCTATATGTCCGCCTCTAGGTTACATAAGAAGATACATTGAGTGGAAGTTACAGTTACAGTTCTACAATTCTGGTTCAGTGTGTTCATTATTGTCATTATTATTTTTCAAACGCAAGTTCGTCTGTGTACGTATACGGTGCAACTGTAATAAATACTACAGGACCGTTCAACTAGTGGTTCTCTCTTCATATGACATTCCACAACCACTCCAATAAAATAATGTATTCTCTGCCAGTGTAATGGCGAGCTCTCTGGTGGTTGAAGGTCGAACTAGTCCACAGACCATGTTGCATGTCTTGCGCAAATTTGCTGAGGTATTATCGATTGAATCGACCTCGACCGGGGCAGGATCGACATTTTCGAGGGAAGTTGAGTGGATTGGTTATTCTAAGTCGTCGTACAAGGAAACGTAAAAGCAAATTAGGTATTATGTCTAATCAAGAAAAAATCGGTTCGTTGGAAGAAGAAGCGCTGAAACGCAAGGAAAGGATAAAGGTCTTGAAACGGAAGCATGATGAGATCGGTAAAGAAGGGCATAATTCTGGAGATGACGCATTCAATTTACCAAGGTTAGTGTGGTTTGAGGAAGATTTAGGTTAGGTGTTCGTAAATACACTTGGTCGTCGACTTACGACCACAAAAAAAAAATGAAAAATAAAACATGATTAAAATGTAAAAGTTTTTAAAAATAAATTATAAAGATGGTAAAACGATTAGAAAGGTTTAAAAATACTGTTAATAAATACATGGCCGACATACGACCAGATCTAGTTACGACCTGTCAGTCGGTCGTAAGTCGACGACCAAGTCTGTATAAAATAAAAAAGTATAGCTATCCCTGTAACAGGCCGTGAAGGCTCATAGGGTTGTGAGACGTTCAGGGTCCCACATTATCTTCTAGACAATCGGCTCAAAAATGTCGGTAAGGTTGTCAGCCTTACGCGCCGGCCGCGCTTTACTCCGCAGGAAAATTATTGAATTAATTCCTGGTACTCATTTCTGTTAGAGGCTGAATCGACCCCAGGGCCATATTGCTGCGTAAATATATATATTTAATTAATTTTGACACCTGACCTAGATGACTTTGTCCATCCAGACCTTTTCTGATCTAATCTGCCCCATAACCCCTTATGTATAATGATACCAGTAGTCTGTTTTGAGTTGTAACTGGACACTACTTCAGCATTAGCATACAGAAACTTATGGTTATGTAATACTGTAATTTGACCTTTCAGGCCAAAGTTCCGTAGTTATAGGCCACAAGATGACACACTGAAGGAAAACATCTTGCCTGATTGCAAACCAGGTGATGTTGAAGCTGAGGTAAAGGATCAGTTGGCATCTGCAAACGCTAGAGTTGTCATAGAAGAACTGGTGAGTACTTGTATCTTGAAAACATACTAGTGTGTGATGTCCATTTTGAGTGAGAGCTTATGGAATCAGTATTGTGTATGGTATTATATAATTTTAACTTTGTCATTCGTTTTTATATATTTGCATTACAATGATCATTTGCAACAGTTGAATTAGGAATGGTTTGTGTTAGGTCTAGTAGTCGTAAGTAAAACCCAAATTAATTGACAAGTTAGGTCAATTACCTACTGATTAACTAACTGTAAGCAGCAGTGGTGCTTGCATGACAGAGAAAACAAAACAGGTTTTTTTTTTTTTTATGGACCACAGGTATTTAACCTATTCCCTTCTTATATGATTTGGAGATAGATTAATTTGCTGTATTTTAGCACAAGCATCCTTATGTGTAGTTTCTGTAATTTTCTGTTCTGTGAGTGTTTTGTCTTATATGCAGGCCACCATGGAAAGTAAGTTTTAATGTTGAAGATTCCAAAGAAAAGCAGTCATCAGTTCATGGTTTACCACAAGCTGTCTTACAGATCTTTACTGAAGTAGCAGTGCATATGCACAGTTCTGCTGGCCGACATCTCAATATTAATATCATTATCCCTGAGTCAGAATACCGATGCCTGCTCTCTAACACATGGAGGATTTTATGGTCCCATATTCCTGGATGGTAGAGGGTCTTCTTATTTGCATAGAAACCCATATTTTTTTTTTCAGGAATTATAAATGTGTAAACCCATGCAATTTCCACCTGTCTTCTTATCATTAAATTTCTGTCACTGATGGGAGGTTCAGAGTCATGCTGTATAGGAACATTTGTCTGAAGAAGAAGAAAATGTGGGAGGAGGCATATAAACAGCATTGTAGTGTGCAGACATTTTACTAGGTAGTTATCACAAACAAACAGATTCCCATGGCACTTAATCAGCACACAACAGAGGAACTGTTGGAAGTGGTGTTTTCTGTGGTGTGCACTGTGGCTGTTGCTATGCAGTGGCATGGTAAACTTGTCGATTCAACGATAGAAGAACTGTTGGCAACGTTTGTTTTCTACACAGTCTATGCCAAGGGGTTATCAATGGGATGGAATTAGAGCTTAGTTCATGGACTCCTGTGTGGAGGCTGCGTCAGATACCTCCACTGTAGCCCTGTGAGCCATGGGAGGCCACCAAAAGGGAAGTCTTGAATCTGAGACAGTAAAATATGGTCATGAGTCCCACAGGACTCAGACCTGAGAATGACTGTGCTGGCACGAGCCAGCAGCAGTTGTAAATGACAGACCCATCCTCTCATTGAAATAGTGCCCCACATCAATAGCCCACAACTGTCTGATAGTAATAAATATCTGGTTGTAAGCCTCAGATGGATGCTTTATTCCAAGACAGATTGGCCGACTGACCATCAGTCGTAACATCAGACTCAGACTCTGCTTAGTTCAGTTGTGAGATGGTGGCCAGCTAGCAGTGGTGTGATTGCAGAAGCTGAAGAATCTCCACTGTTAGAACACATTACAAAGAAACAACTGCTGGAGAGTGTAACAGACTGAGAACACTAGTGTTTCCTAAGGCCTGTTGACTGAGTTCAGGAGGGGATACTGCAGTAAAACCTGTCTTAAACGGAATCTCAAGGGACCAGAAAAAATTTCCGCTGAAGGTTTCCGTTTAATCAAGGTATACTATAATAACTAAACCAGGACATAAACGTATTTGAGACAAAACAAAACAAGATGCTCATTAATTTATTCACACTACAATCATTGAACACATGCAAACATTACACTGAACAGGAAAAAATTGCAGTACTCACTTTTTATAATTTTACCAGAACTCCGGCAGAGTTTTTTGCACGCAGTTTACTCTCTTGGCTGCCTGACTTTCCACAAACACTTTAGCTTGAGAAATTAGAGTAAGCATGTCTGAATCATTCCGTTGCACGGCAAACTCCTGCAGTAGCTTTAAACTGTTGGCAGCATCGTGATAAGTCTTCACTGTACACTCCTTCTATCACAATGTCATTTTCCTCTTCTTCCTCTTCCTCCTCCTCTCTTCCTTTTCCATTTTCTCTACAATTCTCAACTAATACATCGATATCCATTGTGTCTGGTTCTGTTTGCACATCTTTGTCTATGTTGATGTAGTCCTCAGCATTGCAGTTACTGAAAGCAGCTTCATTCATGCAGTGTTGTAAGTCCTTCTGGTCATTCTCATTTTCTACACTAGGAGTAACTTCTACCGTAGAAAATCCTGCTTTTTCAAAACGCTTTGTCACAGTTTCTGGTAACAACTTCTTTACTGCTTGACTTATCCAAATAACCGCATCTGGAACCGAGACAGTTCTTGCAAGTTCAGAGGCAGATGATGTAGAATCTATATTGACGAGCAAAGATTGCATTAATAATTTANGCTGCCTTGCCAATCACTAAGGTTTTCTCCATTTCACCTGACATAAAACCACATAGAAAAACAGTCAATCTTTCTTTGCACAGTTTTCCTCCCAAACATTTTTCACCTTTCAGACATAGTGATTTATTCGGAAGCGCGTGGAAGAGCAGTCCAGTCTCATCACCGTTCGCTATGTTTTCAGGTTCATATCCCTCGATTATGGATGGCAGTTTAGCTTCCCATTCCTCAATGGTCTCACTATTTACATCACTTGATTCACCACAAAGTTCATTAAATCTATCCGATGTCTTTTGCGAAAACTCTCCAACCATCCGTTAGATGCTTTGAATTCAGTCTTCCCCAGTTTTTCAGCGAATTTTTTAGCATATTCCTGTACCATAGGACCCGACAAGCAGTGATTTTTCGTCCTCACACTAACAAACCACTCCCACACTATTTCATTAATGTCTTCGTTTGCAGTTTTCTTAAGTTCTCTTTTTATTTTTCCATTAGCACAAGTTTCCCACTGCTTCAAAATTTCCGTTTTCTTCTTTAGAATCTCATACACTTGAGTTTTTACCGACGTTAAACATCTTCATGATCTGCTTAACAGACAATTTATCTCGCTCACTCGCATGAATCACTTTTAATCTTGTGTTAAGATCAAGCACAACTCTTGTCTTTGTAGCCATGATGACAACTGCTAGACTAAAGTAAAACTGTAGGCCTAGAGCCCTTACTGAATACAATTTACAGAAGGGGAAAACAATTCTGCTGAATCTCAGTGCAGGTAGTGCCGTACCGTTAGAAGCTTATTTTAAAGAGTTAGGGAAAACAAAATTCTGTAGAATGTATAGGATGCCTAAAATTATTCTAAACGATGCATTCCGGAAGACTGTAAATTTTCCGTATAAAGGCTTATTTTGATTTCCGTTGTCCGCATTAGACAGTTTCCGTTTAATCCAGGTTATTTAACATCTTTTTCAGCCCCAAAGTCAAGGGACCTGAAAATATTTCCGTTTAATAAAGGGTCCGTTTAAGGCAGGTTTTACTGTACTATCATCTTTCCCAGCACCATCAACTAACATACTCATATACTCTCTAATTAGTGTTTCAGTTGATGAATGAGAGGTACTGTATGAAGAATCATACCCTCTCAGCCTTTCCACTGGAAGGAAGTGGGTGCTTTCCTTCCACCATTGTCATCTTTATGCTGGAACACATTGGTCAGAAAACTGGGTGGGCCCAGAGCCAACATCTATGCAGTGAAACTTGTACTCATTTTTAATTTGTACAGTAATAATAATAATTCATAGCTTGTGACCTGATCAGTTTGACATTTCTTAATGACTGTGCTTCTGTTGCAGGATATCACCAATCTGGCACCTCGCAAACCAGACTGGGACGTGAAGCGAGATGTTGCAAAGAAACTGGAAAGACTGGATAGGCGAACTCAGAAAGCAATTGCTGAGCTGATCCGTGAGAGGCTTAAGAAAGGACAGGAAGATTTGGCTATGAGTGTACATATTGGTGCTAATATGAGCCAGAATCTGGATATTGATGAAGACTGAGCTATTTGTACAGTTGCCTTGTCATTTATTAAGTAACTTTGTGATTTTTATATTTTGGCCATATGGGACCATAAGCATAAATGTACAAAATAAATAATTTTCAAATGTGTGTGACTTTAAATGAACAAGAACAAAAATATGTGAAATTAGGTCTATAATAGAATTAAGGGATTAAATTGAGCAAGTGTTTGTTGCTTTTCAGTTCACAAATTATTATGTTATGAATTTATTGTTTACCATTGACATACAACTAGATATTGTAATATAATATAATTAAAAACAAAAAATACATATTTAATTACAAACATAGAACTGTGGAGTCTCATTTCTGTGTGAAATACCAAGGAAATTTTTTTGCTTATGTTCGAAAATATATTCCATCTTTCTGTATCATTGCACCCCTCTCTAATTATTTTACATATCTTATTTGCTTAATCTCTGCCTGGCTTTGCCAAGTATATTGTAGCATGTAGACCTGTTGCTAAGCAGTGTTTCTAAACAGTGGCTGTTGCTAGGTAATGCCGACAACACTAGAAGAACTGTGTTTTCTGTGTGGACTGTGCTGAGAGGTTATAAGCGGGACAGAGTTTAGAGCTTGGTTCAGTTGCTGCAGTTACAGTGATCTTTAGAATGTCTAAACCAGTGAGGCTGTTATAGTTACTTGTAATTATGAGCTGTGTGTATAAGTGGTCAATAAATCAAGTCGCCAATCTGAACCCCATCTATAGTCACACACATGTGAAAATATTCTAAACCTATTTCTTTCAGTTCCCACTCTAATTTCTTCACCAAACCTTCTACCTTTAGATTGTTAATCTGTCAGTCATAACACGTTTCTACTATTTCAAGAGTGTGTGTGTGTAATTAACATAACCAGTATTTTGCAATCGTGCTCAGGACATTTGTCTGATACTTTTCCTATACAGAATGGTCTAAAACAAGTAGATGCTTTATTGCCAATGTTTTTCAACTTTGCTTTAGAATATGCCATTAGGTGGGAGTGCAATTAAATGGGACACATCAGCTGTTTGTCTGTGCTGATGATGTGAATCTACTGAGTGATAATGTAGATACCATAAAGAAAAAAACACAAACTTTAATTGATGGTAGTTAGGAGGTTTCTCTAGAAGTAAACGCAGAGAAGACTAAGTATATGTTGCAGAGCAAAATCGTGACATAAAGATAGATAACAGATGTAAGATTTGAGGCTTTCACGGCGGTGACTATGAAGAAAGCAGTCTTCCGGGATTTGGCACCGTGTATAAGTGGTGTTAACCGNATAACAGATGTTTTGAAAATGTATCTCAGTTCAGATATTTGGGAATGATTATAACAAATCAAAACCTGATTCAGGGGCAAATTAAGAGGAGTTTGAATTTGGCTAATGCCTGCTACCTTTCCGTCCAGAACCTATGGCCTTTGTGTCTGCTGTCTAAAAACATACAAATTAGAATATACAAAACTATAATTTTTCCTGTGGTTCTGTATGGGTGTGAAAGTTAGTCTCTGACATTAAGGGAGGGGTACGCAGTAGCGTAGTGGTTAAGGTACTATGTTACAAGCCGGAAGGTCGTGGGTTCAAGTCCCGATGAGGTCATTGGAGTTTTTCAATTGACCTAATCCTTTTGGCCACACTAGGCCCTGTGGTTTACTCAGCCTCCAACAGAAATGAGTACCAGGAATTAATTAAATAATTTTCCTGGGGAGTGAAGCGCAGCCAGTGCGTAAGGCTGACAACCTTACCGCCATCATTGAGCCAATTGTCAAGGTAATGTGGGACCCTTAACGTCTCACAACCCTATGGGCCTTCACGGCCTGTTACAGGGATAGATTTACTTACTTTACTTTACATAGAATAAGGGTGTTTGATAACAGGATGTTGAGAAGAATATTTGGACCAAAGAGAGGTGAAGTGAGGAGATTGGAGAAAACTGCATAATTAGCAGTTTCATAACTTGTACTCTTCTCCAAGTATGGTTAGATTTATGAAGTCAAGGTGGATGAGATAGGCAGGGCATTTAGCACGAATGGGAACCCTAAGACTTCAATACAATATTAAAATGGATCTTATAGAGATAGGATGGGATGGTATGGATTTGATTGATCTGGCTCAGGATAGGGACCAGTGGAAGGCTCTTGTGAACATGGTAATGAACTTTTGGATTCCATAAAATGCTGGGGAATTCTTGAGTAGCTGCACAATTGGTGGCTTCTAAAGAAGGGCTCAGCTCCATTAGTGAGTGAGAGTAATACCATAGTCACAGACTTTTAGTTCTTAAAATAACTGTAATTAACAGCATTGGCATAATAAATTTGTTTAGCTGTATCTGTAACAATAATCAACTAGAGCACACATAATACAGTTCTGCCATTTTAAGCATAATTTTAATTGTAATTAACAATGCTGATGTATTGTTAGACAAATTGTACAATATTTACCCCCATTTTACTTATTCTGGCATAATGAAGACTTAATAATACAACAGTATTTACTCTGCATATAGATGTGGTAGGTTTGTGTGAACTATGTAAAAGCCTCATAATGACAAATAAGTCAGTCAAAACCTCTGATAAATGTTGTTCAGGTACATAAACTGTGTGTGATTACTTTACATTATGTTATTTAGCTATGAGTTAAGTAAGCAAAGACATAATTTTGAAAATAAATTGACACTACGATTCTGTTCTCTGTGTCCACTCTCGTGGAATAAGCAGGACCAAGTTTTTTCCTGTGAAGTACAGACTTCCAGAAAAGTAAATAATTTTTGTGTGCTGAAATACATTGGAATTCTGGTTCAAAAGTCTCATAGAATAAGATCATTTTTGGAAATCTTTCATGACAATTTTTGGATATTGTTAAAAGAGATCTAGTGAATGCAGACTGGCTTGAACTGGGCGAGTACAGAGATGACAAACTAGCAAGAGATTTCTTTAGCTGTTTTTTACAAGCTGCTGATGAGAGGTTCTATATCAATGAGTTATTTTGACTATTCATTGTCAGGAATAAGGAATCTGAAATTCCTCATTACTGAGGCCAAAGGCCAGACTAGAACTCAGAGATAATGATACTAGTATAAAAAAAATTAACACATGGTCAGCTGGGCTGTACATATGCATGATTACAGTGGTGCAATGTATGGCCAGTAAATGTTAAGCGAATGGACGTATGCTAGCTTATCTTGCCAGTATACCCAGGTCTTTCCCTACTGTTAGCAGCTACACAGTTTTAGATCATTCACTTTGCACTGTCACTTTCCCATCTGAATTCAAGACGTACATTTCTTCATATTTTTATCATCTTGCACTTTCTGTGTTGTAATGTGCACAATTTATCCAAGATGTTCCAGGAAGAAACATGCTATCTCCAAAATATGCTCATAAGAATATGACACCTGGTAATATAAACAAGAGATTCCACATGTGGATTGTATGCTGACTTGACTAGTATTTGACAGTAAGACAATGTGCATACAAGTTCACCATGCTAAATTATGGAGTAAATTTCGTCATTGTTTGATTACAAATTTATGTTCCCTAGATATGTCAGTACTATCTTCTGAGGCTGTGATTGCTATTGAAAGGTCAGAATGTAACAATTGCCTTGTAATGATCAAATTCTGGAAGAATTGATCCAAGCAGGTGTAACATTATGTTCCCAGATCTATGAAGTTATTAATTTTTTTGGAATACTGAAAAATTGGCACAGCAGTAGAATGGTAGGTCTATTGAATCTACTTTTGAAAAGGGTGGTCAAATTATTTTGTTCTCTTAATGTTAACCCCATATGTAGATGTAATATATGGATTTTTAGGGAGGAAGTGGTGTGCAATATTCATACTGAATGCCATATATAATTTGTTAAGTTAATTAAATTGTGTTTAAATTAAAGCTTTAGTAAAGTCAATATAAGTCAACATTTGCCTGATACACTTTCTTTTCAGAATAATATGAAATAGATACTTAATTATCATTGCTTTTAAACTTAATTCTAGTATGTACTGTTAGGAAGGTCCAAGATAACCAGGAGAGACTGAAGTTGAATAGGGTACATCAACTTCAGGACTATGCTGATGTTAATTTACTGTGAACAATAGGTAAAAGTTTGTGACAGTGGTATAGGGGTATATTAATACAATTATTATGTTTCAGGACATTACCCATCATCCTCTTTTTATTTAAAACATTATGTTTTGGTGACTGGATTTTGCCTCCTTCTTCAGGTGGAACCTACTCAGTTGAGCCCAATTGATAGAACTAATCCCTGTCACTGGACACCAGCAGCAACACAAGATAAAGTATATATCCAATGCTGGTGTCCAGAGATACATACTAGCTCTGTCAGTTGGGTCCAACTGAAAAGGTTCCACCTCAAGATGACCGAATCCAGCCTCCAAAATGTTGTGTGTTTTAAATAAAAACAGGGCGATGGATGATGTTGAGAAACACAATAATTGTATTAATTTACTGGTTAAAAATGTAAATAAAAAGTAAAGTAAAAGTAAAGCTATCCCTGTAACAGGCCGTGAAGGACCATAGGGTTGTGAGACGTTGAGGGTCCCACATTATCTAGACAATTGGCTCAAAGATGGCGGGGAGGTCAGCCTTATGTGCTGGCCGCACTTTACTCCCCAGAAAAATTATTTAATTAATTCCTGGTACTCATTTCTGTTAGAGGCTGAGTCGACCCCAGGGCCATAGTGCCGCTGGAAGGATTAGGTCAATTGAAAAAATCCAATGACCTCATCGGGACTTGAACCTGCAACCTTCCAGCTTGTAGCATAAAATACACAGAAGCTGTACTAATTGCTGGCAAGGTGATTGGTCTATAAAGTGAATGCAGAGAAAACTGGCCATATGGTTATGTTTTCATTACCAGAATGCATCCTAAGGATATATTACAAAACCTCTGAAAATGTGACAGAGGTAAAATATTTTGGAATTACATTAACAAGTAAAAGTTACATTCATGAAGAACTGAGTGCAGATTAAATGAAGAATTCTTGCTGCCATTCAGTTCAGAATCTTCTGTCTTCCTGTCTGGTGTCTAAAAGCTTAAACTAACACATACAAA